ATTGACCATATGAAACGATAGAGCAACCTCGACTCTATATAGTGTAAAAATATCAGCTCTTTATCTTTTGTCCTTATGGAATTATTCAAAAAATGCCCACGGCCATTTAATTCTGAAATGGGCAGTAATTCAATACGAGTATTAATGCAGAACATTGTTGTCCTAATCATGAATTTGATCGAGCATTTAATATCTACGATCAAAAAACGAAATAGTACTATTGAATTACGAGAATCTTGTCGATTAATTTGGATTATAGAAAGATCAATAATAGTAGAAAGAATATCAAACTTTATTGAATGTGCAAATATGGCTGATGATAGAAGTTTAAATTATGAACAGAAATACTTCTTAATGTTAGTATGGAACAATAAGTTTTTTTCAGATGTAGAAAACAATGATTTTAAGACTGTTGGAGTTCATATGCTTTTTATATGATTTTGTTTTTTTCTACATTACATATTTTTGAAAATCTGAAGAGATATAAGTATATCTTCTTACATTCTTCATTCACTTTAATTTATTATGTCACAGAATTCAGCAGAAATATTTATTTTGAAAAATCTACTGCTTGATAAATGGGATGTGAACTGAATTCATATAGTATCAATTAAATCTAAACTACTGCATGACAATTATGGTCGACTGACATGTATAATAATTCACTCTGGTTTGTTCAGAAGAATATTAAAATGAAGACTAATCGAAAGGCTCATTTGATACAGATTCAAAAAAATAATTTTCCCAGACAACTACTCATATATTAACGAACAAGTTTTCTTCGTTTCACTTTTTTCACTTAATTTCAATCTATAAATGAAAGAACCGATGTAAAGCAAGACATTTACATCAGAATCAATCATTAGTTCGAATCAAGAACAATCATCAATATCAAATGTAGAAAAGATCAATTTAGATACACAAATTGATGATATTCGTTCTAATGTAAATCAACATATTCTTTTCTTTTATGATACGATAAGATTTATTTCTAGTCAAAAAATTCATCTAGTCTTCCAGAAGCAATTGTTGAAACTCTTCAACCATTGATATCATCAACAATCGATACTAATAAAACAAATCCAGGTTAAAAAAAAGAAAAATCCTAACAATACAAATCAAACTCTTCTTAATCAATAATTTGCACAAGTAAATCTCATTTGTAATTTTAAAGTAAATCACATTTTTAAATTTGTCTTTTTTTAGTCAATTACATCTGAAGAAGAAAGAAAAGTTCCACCACGATTGACGTTTTCAGCTGATTCTTCGATTAATCAACATGATAAATCATATTCATATGATATTGGTTCTTTAAAAAGTATGCATTCAATTGAAACATAAATTGATGATTCTCAAACGACACAAAATCGTTGAAGTATTGATGAAGAAGAAAGATCTTTTATTGATTCAATATCCAATGATAATCGAAATGAACCAACAACATGTAATTGATGTTCTTCATTAAGAATAAATCATCTTCTTATCATTTTCTAGTAATAAAGGCAATTCAATTAATGATGGACAATTTAAAATTTGATTTTTATAAACGTTTTGACAATTTGGATGAACAATTCCAAAAGAAGTTTGACCAGCTAGCACAAAAATTAGATAACATTTACGAATCAAATGCTATTACATCAATAATGAATAAGATTCGTGCAGATCATAATTTAGAAATACCATTCTTACCAACAAACCGGATATTTTATTCAAGTTATTCGGCGAAGAGCAAAATGTTATTTAGTGAATTCGAACAATATCTTATTGAAAATCATAAGGATCGATGGACAAAACAATACAATCCTATTTTACTATCGATGAAACCTCAACAACTTGAATTTTATATCCTCGGCTTCGCATTCGAACATACAAAAGAACAGCGTCGCATTATTAAATCTTCTAATATTGAATCAGTTAATACGACTTCATCAGGTAATTATCTTGGGTCGTTCGAAGCCAATACTATTATTTGTGGTGAAGTGACAACATCAACTCTCACCTTCAACAACAATGATTTATTATTACTTGAAAAGGTAGTTTAATATCATTTTGTTTTTCAACAATTCTACATATCTTTCTATTATTGTTTAATATAGAATATTTCTTCGAATTCATCTAATCCACAAACAACACAAGCAACATTCAAGCTTTTAAATAAACTTATTCAACTTGAACGTTGTGTGGCGTTTATTCTAAAATATTACAAAAATATAACACTTGAATAGATAATAGCTGTTTTATTTGGTCGGTTTGTCGATGCCCAACGTCATCGAGCACCTGAACACCTCTATGACATGGTTTTTACGTCTTCTTTCTCGTCAAAAGCAGTAGTGTCAAACTTGAAAGTTGAATTCAATTATTGAAAAGTTATTTCAACTATTCAGTTATTGAATATTTGAAGTTCAAATACTAAAATATTTAATGATCCTCAGATGTTATAGGTATTACCTGAAATGCTAAAATGATCTCTATGGATGCCCCAGAAAGCATCTGGGATGCTACGTATGTTACCTGGGACGCTACAGAAAGTACCTGAAATGCTTGAGTGATCACAGGATGATAGCATCTGTAAGCGAACGGGTAGCATGGTTAAGTAGCCCCCGGAAAGTTGTAGTTTGCATAGTACAAATATGATACTTCGATTACTGTGCACACA